ATGAATATAAAAAAGTACTATCACACAAAAGCATTTGTAAGTTTTACTGATCTATAAGTTAGTCAAAATTCAGGACATGGAAAGAGAACAAAAATAATACTGTTTGTATGTCTGCTCCTTCCTTTATTATGTATACTAGGAAAACTAATTTGCAGCAAATTTAATCTATGTATTAAAGTATGAATTTATATATTCTCATACACTCATAATAGAAAGTTAAAACTACAACAATCTAGAGCGCCACAGAAGTAGAAAAAGAGGGAAGGGGATACAGCTCAGTGGCACAATGCCTGCCTGGCAAGTGTGAGGTCATGATTTCAATTCCCAGTACCAAACAAAAAGGCAGTAGAAAAAGAAAAGATAAAAACTAGGATTACAGGTCCCACTTAACCCAGCTATTCCCCTTCTGGGTATTTTTCCAGAAAAGCTGAAAACATCATACCACAGCAATATATGTGCACCCACGTTTATAGCAGCACAATTTGTCACAGCTAAATCTTGGAAATAATCCAAATGCCCATCAACAGAGGAATGGATAAAAAGATGTGGTATTTGTATACAATGAAGTATTACTCAGCTATAAAAAAAGATAAACTTGAGGCTTTTGTGGGTAAATGGATGCAACTAGAGACCATACTCATAAGTGAAATAAATCAGACCCACATGTGTAAACATCATATTGTCTCCCTAGTGTAAGAACCTGAAAGAGTAAATAAAATCTGAAAGGTACAATAAATATTGTGAAAGGGAAAGAAATTGCTCAAAGGGAAGAAACAACTGGAATGAGGGAAAGGAGAAAAGAAAGAAGGATGGGGAAATATAGATATATAGATAGATATAGATAGATATAGATAGATAGATATATGCATATACAAGGATAGCTGGGATAATTTTACTGCTGATGTCTATTGGTTTACTGAAAGGAATAGTTAATGCTTAAATTTTTTTCTTGACCAATTCTGCATGATTATATCTGGTAATCTGAACAACAAATCAGAAGACAACAATATGCAATATAACAACCATTGTTGAATTCCTACAATTCTGTTTAGTGAAATTCTGTATCATTTCTAATGGTTTTTTATTACTTTTTATTCTCTTGAATTGTTTGATTAATCTTGCATTCTTACAACTGGTAATCTGAGCAACTTTGCTGAAGATAACAATATGTACTATAACAACCACTGTTAATTCCTATCATCTTGTTTTGAAATCCTGTATCATTTTTATTGCTTTTGCGTTGTTTTGTTTTTGTCTTTGTTGTTATTTTTTTTTTTTTTTAAATTAAAAAAAAGAAAGGAAAAGAAATTTAAAGCAAATTAAAGTAGAATGGAGTCAGGCAGTGTCAAACATAAGAACATCAAAGAATTTTTTAAAAAAACAATAGTTGCAGCCAGGCACAGTGATGCACACCTATAATGCCAGCACTCCAGAGGCTGAGGAAGGAGGATCCCCATGAGTACAAGGCCAGCCTGAACTACACAGTGAAACCCTGTCTCAAAAAAACAAAAAACAAAAACGAAACAGTTGCCAAAACATACAAAGTCAGATTAAGTAGGAGTTTTTTAGCCCAAGATAAAAATATTGTAGGCAATCTATTGTCTCTGTGTGCACTGACTAGTTGTCAAAAACCATGCTGACAGCATATGCCATGATGCTGGATATGCCTGAGCCTATCACTAGACACTGACTTTCTGTCCACGATAAACCAAACCACTATAGAGTGATTCCTAGCACACCTGCCAGACACTAAACAGTGCCATCAGAGTTGCACAACACTTTGAAAGGCAGGCTCACACAGGATATCAAGATATGAGGGGCTGGGGATTTAGCTCAGCGGCAAAGCGCCTGCCTGGCAAGCGCAAGGTTGTGAGTTCGATTCCTGGTACCAGAAGAAAAACGAAAAACAAAAATCAAGATATGAACAGACAAATTACCTCCTTGTGGCTATTTCTACATGTGAATACCTGAAAGTCCTTTAAAGGTGCTAAATATGACAGTTTGACCTTAGCAAATCGGCTGTGTAGTTGTTATGTTCTAAGAGGTGGTATTCCTCCAATAAATCCACGTATGAAAATTAAGGGAAATTTAAGTAAAATTCTCCAATACTTTTTCAGCTATTGCAATTGCAAGCAATAGAAATGACCCTGGCTAAATGTATCTTATTCTAAATCATCATTTTCAAGAAAGCAATAGTTTTTTGTTTTGTTTTGTTTTTGTCTGGCCTTTGTTTGGAATACGTCTCTCAGCAAGATTTGGTATACTTTACACGCTTAAATCAACTAAACCCAGCATTATATTAGTGACTGTACAACTGTTTATGATGTAAAAGAAACACTTTTTCAAAACAACCTTTGAACGGTTGTTTTTCCTCCTATCATTAGTTCTCTGAAAACAAGAAAAATAACAGGGTGGCACACACACATTTGTACCAGAGTCAAATATAGGTTATGGGGGCTGGGGATTTAGCTTAGTGGCACAGTGCCTGCCTGGCAAGCACAAGGTCGTGAGTTCGATTCCCAATACCAGGGGAAAAAAAAAATATATATATATATATATAGCTTATGATAATACAGATCTATCCTATAGAGCTGTGGTGAAAATTAGTTCTTACAAGTAAAACGCTTAGAATAGTGTCTGACACAGCAAACCCTTAGTAAATGTTAAATATTATTACTGTACCATGTCCCACATGGACTTGCTCTATGTCCCTTAAAACCAAGAAAGAGTAAATGACAGAGAAAACAGAAAAGCCCCTTCCTTTGATGCTCACATACCTCACCCCACCCAAGTCCATCTGTTACAGAGAGAGAGGGGCTAGACCCAGCCACTTGGGTTCTCTACATAAAACTAACCCTTTTAGTGCCAAGCATGAAAGGGTGATCAGGATTTTCTTAGGATCCAAAAAAATCACACTGGTGAGCTAATTGTACCTAACAATTAACAGATGAAAGACAGTACAGGTTAAAGTACAGATTTAGAGGAGATACCCCACTCATACTACAAAGAAAAACAGGTGACTTTGGACTTGGAGGCATATGGCAAAAGATTAATCGTATGAGACTGACCAAGAAAGCCAATTCCAAGACAAAGAGATGACACAGCCAGGCAGCCACCACTAATGCCGATGGGACAGGACAGCAGACCGGCACGGTGGAGAATCTCCCTCTCCGGTCTGATCAGGAACAAGGGGAGTTTAATACTTCCTTCTTATTTGGTGTATAAGCCCACGCAGCCTACCCTGGGGGGCTCTACTCAGGCCCCCTCTGCTCTGACAGTTTGTGATACCAAAGAACGCTGGAATTTAGCTAGCAGCGGTGACTAAATGAGAAGCACTGTACTGCATTTCACACACATTTTTTAAACATGAAAGAAAACAACAGAATAAATGTCAAGTGTAAGATGGAGTATATTGCCAATTTATTTACATTCCCCCTGAGATTTCAGGAACAGTTTTCAGAAAGCTTTCCTAGTAAAGACAGATCATCTGACAAATCACAGGTGAAGTACACAAAAGGTAAGTAATATCCTCAGTGGTGTGCAACATTCTGCGATCTGTTCCGAGCCTCATCGGTGCCCTAGGCCGAGAGAAGAAATGTGAAGGAGAGAGAACTGCGTCCATGGAGACTTTCAGCCACGAGAACGGGACAAGCACTCGATCGCAGGGGACTGCGCAAGTGCATTTGCTACAACTCATCATCCCATGCAGGATGATAAATTCTGCGGTACCTTCATTCACACTGTAAGTGATTTTTACACTGTAAAATTCAAGTCCATTCTCTAAATGAATGTACAATATTTAGAAAGTGTAAGAGGAGAAGGAAAAAGAAAAGCAAGGAGAAAGTGAGGAGGAGAAAAAAAGATAAAACAATAGTAACTGAAGGACCCAACATAGCGTCTCCAAGTAGATATATGGTTTTACTTGAAGCCACTTATCTTCTAAGTCAATAGTACAGATCCTGAAGCTGAAGGTAATGGTCAATTATACAGCTATGCTTGCAAGGGCATATAAATAATCCAAAGGCTAAGGCTCTACAACATGTCCAGATAAACTGCATTTTAGACTAACTGGGGTAAGATAGTATGTCATAAAACTAGAGAGGCACAATTATGTATTAGATATTGTTTCTCATTTTACTTAATGCCAAAGTCATCATTTTAAATAGCATATGCTGATTCTTACAACTATTAAGGCATAAGGTGTTCAATTTTCTAGTGTTATGAATTCATAACCCATAAACTCCTACATATCCTGTTTGTATACTACCCACAATAATAATTAAACCTGAAAAGTCTTGTTCATTTAATCCCATTGTATAAAAAACCCAGTGGCTACAGAGCTCCTACATTTTCTGAAAGGATCAACACTACAAAGAAAATATTATTCATCATTTCTACATTGTTCTTATTATCTGAAAATGTGCAGTAAATGCTTGCTAAATGAGTGAATAAATGAGTCAAGAATATACTCCAACTACAGTGGTACCTCGGTTCACAAACTCAATTCTCTCTACGATTCTGGTTGCACATCGAACTGGATGAGAACTGAATCAAATTTCCCCATAGAGTCAACAATGAACCTAATCATCATATTTGATTCAGTTCTCATCCAGTTCGATTTGCAACCAGAATCATGGAAAAAATTAAGTTTGTGAACCAAGGTATCACTGTACTACAGATCACAGAATATAATGAGTTACCCAAAGTAATAATTAATGCGAACAACGTTCTATTTAGTTTCTGGGATCTGACAGTACATATGTAAACATGTCAGATTTTCATAATTAAGTCATAGTAATATTCCGTTTATAGCTGTACAGACATACTTAACACTAGAATGCCAGTAGTACTACATTAAGAATATTTGACTAATAAAAATAATTCTTTGTATATTATGTTTAACAAAACCTATGCAATATTCAAAGAAACAATATATATTATATGTCATCAAGGATTAACATAAAATAAAAAACTGAAATAACAAAATATGCATATCCTACCTGAACATCTTTGTACTTGTCTCTTAAATCCAAGAGCCGGTGATAAGCTTTAATTGCTTCTGAAAATTCCCCAACGTCAGTGCTGGTGAGGATGTAGTTTTCCCAGATTTGCCAGTGTTCGTAGTTACACTTGAGAGCTTCTTGTAAAGTTCTAAAAGCTTTTACCCTAAGAAGGTCAAATTTTAAAGAGAGCAACAGGAATTATTTTAACTAGTATACAACACAGCTAAGCATATTGAACGCTAGTACGAACTGTTAGTCTTCATCATTCATGGTAATTTGTAGATTTTAGAGGCCCCAAAATACCTCAAACTTTGCTATAAAACTGAACAGACCTTTAGTATACATAAGATACCTACAGTGGTAACTCCTCCCCTAATCTATGCATTGGTAAGAAGGACAGTATAACTGGGTGTCAAGCTCATTATCACCCCAGGAGAGCACCCAGGCAAGTTTCAGACATGAACCCACAATGACCAAGCAAGCACAATTGTAAGACAAGACAAAAAGTGGGGCACAACTGGAAGAGATCAAAACAAAAAAAATCTCCCATGGGGAAAAACCTACACTAGGAGGGACAATCAGTAAAATAAAGCAACATGACATAAATTTACTAACAATAAAATTAATTTAAAGAAACAATATATCAAAGCTTTAAACAGATTTGTTTAGAATACTGAAAGAGCCAAATAAATAATTTATATTTAAAAGAAACAGAAGATTGTGAAACAAAAACAAGTAGAAATGAAACAAGAACAAGGCAATATAAATAAAAACAAACTAGAAAGTTTAGAAAGAAAAAATAGGTAACTAAAACTAGACTACATATAGTCAGAAGAAAAAACTAATGAACTGGAAGACAATAATGAGTTAACACAGAATTTGGATTAAAAAATAAAAAACAGTGAGGAGAGAGGAAAGCATGAGATAAATTCTGGAATGAACAAATGCAAAAAATGGCAGTATACTATACATAAAAGATAATAGATGATCGTTTTCCAGATCAAGTAACACAGACATATTATGTAAAACTACAGAACACATATTCTAAAACCTACAAAGGAGTAATAATTAGAGAACAGCAGATTAAATTTAATCAACAACAAGATGATAGAAAACAAGAGAATATACTTCTTTTAAAGTGATGAGTGAAAATGATTGTCAGCCCAAATTTTACAACCAGCTAAACTTGCCACTCATAGTAAATGCAAAACCAAACATTTTTAAATATACAAAGACTAAGACAGTTTCCTACCTATTGACCCTAACTAAAAGAACTACTACCTTGCAAAATAAAGGGAATTCAAAAGAATGAAACACTTCAAAATTCAAACACAAATCATATAGGAATTTTTAAAATTCCTTACTTTACTCCTTACCACCACATACAACAGCAACTGCCTTCAATTGTGGTGTACTCAGTTCTCTTAATTATAGAAGGGTGGGAATGAAATTATCCTCTTGAAAAATAACAAGCAACAATTCACACTATGAGGATTATTCCTTTTCCTGTATGCCCACCTTCTAACCACAAGCTCCTAGCCTCAAAATTTTTGAAATGAATTATTTTTTCTTTTTTGTTCAGAATGCCTTCTTTACAAAAAGCTTCCTGTCAAGATTCACTTATCAAACCCAGTACGGTAGAGATACTGCACTATGATAGTTATACAGTATCCAAAATGGGCAACTTTCCCAAGGGATTGGTAGGGACATGAGGCCTGGGGAAATAAGATGTAACAATGAAAACAGCACTTCAGTGAAGAACCCTGTGATAACAGAACACTAAATGAGATAGTTAAATAGGCCATTTTAGGGCATGAATGTGACTGTTTGAGAGGAGCCGTAATAACTATCTTTGAAGCAACAATTTCATGAGCCAAAAATTAGCTATGTCTGGAGCAGTAGCAAACAAAAGAAAGAGTAAAAAGACTAGAACAATGTAATGATTTACCTCTGACCTTGCAACTCTAATTTTATATACAAACTTGTTCATGAAGGAGCAGAAAGGCAATAAAGTATCAAGAAAAGAAAATTAGAGTATTAAGAAAAGTATTAAGAAAAGAGTCTTGAGACTCTGTATCACTCTGAATGTTCTTGCTTTAATGGGTTTATGTTTGTGATGCTGGTATGCTGCTACTGTTCCACTTCTTTGCTTGTTTGTTTCTCAATTACTACTCTCTTTAAAATAAAAAAAATTTAAAAAGAACAGTATGCAAGAATTGTCTACATAGAATTGCAAAGGTTAGTGGTCTAGAAGACAAAATAGAGCCTATCAAGAGCCTTACTACATAGAAAATTATCTCCGTAACTGGAAAAAGTCATTGAAATCACTCTACAACTATGACAGGGATTTCCCCTACCCCCGGCTTTAAACCAGAGGTCTCCAGTGGGTTTAATATAATCAGTTGCAATCAAAAACATAATATTATTTTCTGAAGAAACTCTAGAACAAACAGTACTTTATTTATGCAGATTATCATCCAAAAACAGAGGAAGCATTTCATGATTTCAATATCTCCAGAAATATCTTGAGATTCCAAAGAAAAATTAAATTAAATTTGAAAATAAGGCCAAATAAAAATGGAAATATAGCTATCCTTTAATTAACACATTAAAACTCTGGCAAAAGCAATTGTCTTTTCCCTTTCTCCTGCTTTTTGTAGCCAGTCAATAAGCCAGTCAGTTGTCCCCTTTATAAACTCTTTGGCATCTGCCCTTTCTTTTTCCACTTTAGTTATCTCATGCTGGATTGTTGTAACAGCTGTCTCCTAACTGGTTTCCCAGCCTCCAGTTTCCTCCCTAGTTTGTCTAACACACTGCTACCAGATAAATCTTCCTAAAAAAAAAAAACTTCTTTCTTCATGAATTAGCCAAAATCCCTGGCTTTCTATTACCAACAAGATGATCTCCACATGTTAGAAAACCAGAACATACAACAGTTTGACACAAACTACCTTTCCAATCTTACCTCTTACCACAAAGCTCACATTACACTGTAGCTTGACTATATTACCTCCTATCTTCTAAAATAACTCATTCACTTCTGTCACTCTATATTTGGTCACATTGTTTCCCTAGCCTAAAAGACTTTCATTTGTCCTCCATTCCCATCCTTCAAATTTAGCTTGGGTCCAACATTAGTACTTCTGAACCAGGATCACATATCTGCTCCTTCAGATCCTCACAGGGCTATATGAGTGCCTGACACACAGTAAGGCCCTACAAATACCATCTACTATTATTGTAGCCCCCTCTGTATTCTCATTTGATAGTCACCACATATAGCTTATATTGCTAATCAATTTTTAAAATAATGTAACATAGTATTTTATTTTTAACCTATAATTCCTAAATATACTGATTCATATTTATTTAAAAATTTCCATAATGTCTAGTACAAAGCAATTAATAAAAAAAATCTACCAATGGAGCTGCCCAACTAAAAGCATGCTTCCTTTTATCATGTAATGAAATTTAGTATGTAAAACCTAAACACCAAATAAAGATTCCAAGTGGTATTTTTCACTTCATTACATATTAAATGTTTTTAAGAAATAAGTTGCACATTTAGAATTCAAAGAATAGGGGCTGGGGATTTAGCTCAGCGGCAAAGCGCCTGCCTGGCAAGCACAAGGTCGTGAGTTCGGTTCCCGGAACCAGAGAAAAACCAAAAAAAAAAAAAAAAAAAAAAAAAAAAAAAAAAAAAAAAGAATTCAAAGAATACTAGTAAGTTATTTTAACTCATAGAAGGGTGAAAAGGGGGAAGATACAATAAAATACAATGCTTCAATATTCAGTTGGAGAAAATAATCATTCATTAATGTTGGAAGCACAGTTCTTCATATTTCCCTGATGTACTTACTTTTGTTTTAATCGGATATAGGAAGTTGATAAATTGTTCCAAGCTTCAGCATTCTGAAATGATAGAGAACTCAGTTATAGACTATTTTCACTTAGGAAATAATTGCTGAAACCAAAAATATAACAGTCCAATAGATGGTATTAAAAATCACAATTTTTTAGTAAGGTTTGTTTAAAGGCAAAATATAAAATTAAACCAAAATTAACTTTTACAATTTATAAAAATTTCAAAAATTAGCCAATCAATGATACAACTATTATAGTACTGATTTGGAAATTTCTTAAGATTTTACTTTCAAATTTAGATTTGAAATTTTACATCATAATTCATAAAGCATACAGCTTTCTTACAAATCTAAGGAATGTAGAACACTGTTTTTTGTACTTTAAAGGCTTTGCCTTTCACCATCACTGTTCTTCATCAGGTAGGAGAGAAACACTGAATAGTGTCCTCCACTGTTACTCCTTTTTTATCAACTAAACATTTCTCTACCTATTCCTATATCTAATGCAAAAATGAAAGTTTTTAGAAAAATGTTGATGTTAATGAGAATTATGGGGATTCTATTTGTTCTTCTTTCTTCCACTTTCAAAATAGAATATACAATATATAATTCTCAAATTCCATACCTATGATTCAAAAAATTAAGTGGTACTGAATCTCTCCTTCCAGACAAGACGAAGGTCAGTACCAAAGTAGCCCTCTCATCATAAAAGGCTACAAATGACAATATATAGGAAACTACTATTTTGGAGAAGCTGGTCAAAAGCAGCACGGAAGCGTTATCCTGGAGAGAAGGGAAAAGCTAAGGTGTCTCAGCAACCAACCCAGCCTGCTACTTGCAGGCACTTTCAGGGATTCAGCACAGAGCCACAGAAACAAAGCACAGCAAGTCTTAGCGAGATGAAGAAAAAAGGGTTAGAGTTCAGGGTCAAAAAGGAGCTGGAATTTGCAAAGCAAAATACCACAGAGATGCGTGCTTCAAGAATGAGCTCCAGAAATTTCAATAAACATCCCCCAAATCTCTGAATACTGTCATCCAGATGCAAGACAAAACTTCCTGAAGTCTCACAAAGAACAATTACCAGAGAGCTGAGAGCTGAATGAAAATTTGGAAGTCATATGGGAGTTATTCAAATTCCAACCCAACAACTGGAGAGCCTTACTCATGGCATTATATTTAACCCCAGAAAGGTTATACCTGAAGAGAAAAATTTTTATAAAGAAAATTTCAATTTTAGGCTTATCTTAACAAAGTTTAAATCAAGATGATCTACAAGTAAATTAAGTAAAATTCAAAATAAAAATCTTTCTTAAGAGAAGAAAAATACAGCATCTACAATGCATAGGAAATAAAATTAATGATAACTATGCAAAGAAGCAGAAAATTTTTAGCCCTAACCAAAAGAAAGATCAGTTATTAGAAACAGACCTGGAAATTAAAGAGATGTTGGAATAAGCATATAAGGACTTTACTTACTATATAGATAATGCTCAAAGAGTTGAAAGAAAACATAAACACAATAAGAGATTGGCTGGGAAACCTTAGTACAGACATGAAACTGTTAAAAAGAACTAAGTGAAAATTCTTGAACTGAAAATTCTATTATCTAAAGTAAGCTTAATGAATGAGTTTAAGTGCATACTAGACAGTGCAGAAGAAAGAACATCTCTAGACTGGAAGACACTGCAACAGAAAATATATCACAGAGAAAAACCAAAGCACACACGCACGCGTACACACACACACACACACACACACACACACACACAAAATAAGCACAAAAAAATAAGAGCTTCAAGGACCTACTGGGCAAAATAAGTAGTATAAAAAGGAAGGAAAAAGAGAGGATGGATTGTAACTCTGTGGTAGAGTGCTTGCCTACTGTGTGTGAAGCCCTGGGTTTATCGCCAGCATAGATACCAAAACAAAATCTGAAGAAATGATGTCAAAACTTTTCCTGATCTGATGAAACCTTAAGCACATGAATCCAAAAACTTAATAAAACCTCAAGAAGGATATGCACAAAGAAAACTATACTGAGCTACATAATTAAATTTCTTTTAAAAAAAAAGATTAAAAAGGGAAGACTTCAATGCAAAATTTTAATGCACAGAGGGAAAACCACAGCCAAAGAATACAGTTAATACACAAAAATCAACTTTTTATTATTCTATCAGTGTACAACTAGAAAATAATGTTTAAAACAACATAATAGCATCAGAAACATGACCATGCAACTTCACTTTGAAATTTATATTTAAGAAAAATGAAGACCTATGGCCACACAAACATTTGCTCTAGAATGACAATTGGAAATAATCCAACACTCCATCAACAGAATGAGGTACAAACAAATTAGGAATATTCATATAATACAATACCATACTTCAGTTAGAACAAATGAATTGCTACTACAACTAATGACACAGATGAAAATTTGAAATATACATCAAGTAAAAGAAATCAGAAAAGAAGTTCATAGCCTATAAGTCTATTTACACGTAGCTACGGAAAAGGCAAAGGCAATGCAAAGAGAAAAAATTAAGAACAACAGTTGCTAAGAAACAAAGGGGTAAGGGAGCTCATAGTGATGGCAGGTAGGACAGGAGGGAGCCCTCTGGAATGACTGAAGCGGTTCTACATTTTGAAAGGGGTGTGAGATATTCAACAGTATGCATTTGTCAAAACTGACCAAACTGCTCATTTAAGATTTGTGAGGAGCCTAGGATATAGCTCAGTTGGCGATACAGCTCAGCGGCACCGTGCCTGCCTGGCAAGTGTGAGGTCATGAGTTTGATTCCTGGTACCAAAAACAAACAAGATTTGTGAGTAGTCTTTAAATTATATTGCACTTATGCTCAGCATGATGGCATGCGCCTGTAGTCCACGCACTCTGAAGACCTGAGACCAGCCTAAGTAACATAGTAACGTTGCTGCTCAAATATATATATGTATAGATACAGATATATAGATATACATTCATCTGCACTTAAAGGATGGAAAAGAAAAAAGAGTAGGGGGCACTTGGAATTTATGTCAAATATTTAGCTAAGCTGATGTGCATCTGAGATGGAAGCTAGATTCCAAAAATTGAAGCATCCATTGAGTAAATGCCTGTTAATAGTGTGTTCATCAACCTTTTCTTAGCCCCAAAGAAGCTATTTTAGTAGCTCAGTCATTTGTGAAAGCTAATTAACTGAAGCAATGTACATGCATATAAAAAATGTGATTGAGAAGTGGAAAGCGTAAAGTGGAGCAAGACTGGTATTTATATGGATTTTATCTTCGATAAAGCTCTACCACCATAACCCTTACTTTTTGTTCGTACTTCTATAGAAAGTAATTTTGGTGGAATATTGATATAAATACTCAGAACAAGAAATGAAATAATAAATATTAGGGTCGGGGTATAGCTCCATCAGAGAGGCCCTGTCTACCATTTATGAGGCCCTGGATTCAATCTGTACACTGAGGGGGGAAGAAAGAAAAGGAAAAAAGAAAGAAAGAGAAAAGTAATAAAGATTAGAGAAGAAACAGAGGAAATAGAAACTATTAAATTTACATAGAAACTTAATGAAACCAAAAGTTAGTTAAGTTGGCAAATCTTTACACTAACCAGGAGGAAAAGAGAAAAAATTAAGTTACTAAAATTAAAAATGAAAAGGGATCATTGCTACCAAGTTAACAGAAACAAAACGGATTATAATACTGCAAGTAACTGTATACCAACAATTAGACAGCCTAGATGTAACGGACAAGCTCCTAAAAAGATGCACGGTATCAAGCTGACTCTTTAAGAAAGAAAAAGTCCGAACAGACCTGTAACAAGAGATTGAGTTAATAATCACCACCCCCACAAAACCCCAGGGGCAGACTGGTGCATTTTACAAAATGCTCAAAGATGAACTCACACCAAGGCTCACAAACTCCTACAAAAAATAGGAGATGGAATTTGTAACTTATTCTATAAAGCCAGTATTCTTCTGCTATGTTTTATATTGAGATGTCCCTCCAAAAGCCTCATATGCATAATAGGTGGAGCTTTTAGAAGGTGACTGGATGGATTATGGAGGCTTATAGGTGACCTGCTATTAGGAGGTAGAGTCTAGCTGAAAGAGCAGGTCACTGAGGGAGTGGCCTGAAAGGGTTTATCTCCCTCCCCAGTTTGGTTCCTCCCTTGGTCGCTCAGCTTCTAGGAGAACATGCCGATGCAGGGAGCAGTTCTCTGCCACAGGCCCTTCCACCATACTGTTCTGCGTTAGGACCAGACAACTATGGACTGAAACCTCTACAAACCATGAGCCAAAATAAGCCTCTCCTTGTTTAAGTTTCAAGGTCAGTAATCTGTCCTAGCAACAAAGACACACTGTGATACCAAAACCAACCAAAAACATCACAAACAAGAATGCTATGGATCAATATTCCTTGTTAAATACGGACACAAAACTCCTCAATGAAATACTAGCAAAGCAAATCCAACAAGCTATTAAAAGGATTATATACAACAACCAAATGGAATTTATCCCAGGAATGAAAGGTCGGTTCAATAACCAAAATAAACCAATGTAATACACTGTATTTCTAGACTTAAGAAAAGGAAGCTACATAATCATCTCAATAGACACAGTAAAAACGTCTGACAAAATTTAACATGATAAAAATATTCAACCAACTAGAAATAGAACATTTCTTTCTAGGAACATTTATGTATATACCCAAAAAATCCACAGCTAACACTATACATATTTAATGGGGACAAACTGAAAGCTCTCCTACAAAGATAGGAAACAAGATCAAGATGACTACTTTCATCATTTATCCATAATATTCTACAACAAGGGCTAGCTAGATCATTGGGCAAGAAAATGAAAGGCACCTGGATTGGAAGGAACAAGTAAACCTATTTCTAATTTTAGATAATATGATCTTTTATACAGAAAATCTAAAGGAATCCACTAAAAAAAAAATAGAACTACTAAATGAATTCAACAAGGTTGCAGGATACAAGACTAACATGCAAAATTCAAATGTGTTTCTACAGTAATAACCAATCCAAAAATAAAATTACAAAACTATTTCATTTATAACAGCACCAAAAGGAAGAAAATACTTCAGAATAACAACAAAAGAAGTGTAACACTTACATTCTTAGAAATAAATGGAAAGATATTCACATTCATGGATTAGAAGACTTAATATTATTAAGATGCCAATACTTTCTATATTGTCTACAGATTCAATGTATATCCTCATTGTATTTTTTGCAGAAATTGACAAAGTTAAAATTCCATATGAAAATTCAAGGAACCCTGAATACCCCCAAACAATCTTGAAAAAAGAACAGAGAATAATCACACTTGGCATTTTCAAAAGTTACTATAAAGCTTCGAGAAACAAAATAGTGGTCCTGGCACATGGATAGACATATATAGGTGGTAAAAAAATAATAGTAATAACTATCAATCCATAATGAAGCTCCTATATTTATAATCAATTGATTTTTTTAAGGAAATGATTGTGGGAAAATGATATATGCATATACATAAAGGAATGAAACTGTACCTTACATCATACACAAAAAAAATTAAATTAAAATGACCTCTGGACTACATGCAATAGCCAAAACTATAAAACTCTTAAAAGAAAAGGTAAGCATAAACCTTTATGATGGATTCTTCAATACAACAATAAAAGCATGAGAAATAAAAGAAAAACACAGATTAGCTAGATAGCATCAAAATTTTAAAAAACACACACACACAAACTTTTGTGCTTCAAAGGATACTATTGAGTAGGGGGGAAGAACACCCAAAGGATGGAAGAAAATATTTCCAAATTACAAGGGACTTGAACACTACACCTTAATAAAAAGACCTAGCCAACTTACCGTTAGGTATATACTCGAGATATGGAAACATATGTCTATCAAAGACTTGTAACTAAATGTTAATAGCAATAGTATCCATTATAGTCAAAAAGTAGAAATAGTAGAAATGTTCAACTGATAAATAAATGTCATGTGACCTTACAATGAAATACTGTCAATAAAAAGCAATGAAGTACTGATACATGCTACAACATGGAAGAGCCTTAAAAACAACCTAAGTTAAAAAAGCCAGGCATTAAGTTCCAATTATTGTGCAAGTCCAATTCTATGAAATGCCCAAAACAGTCAAATCGACAGAGACAGAACGTGCATTAATGACTGCCTAGGACTGGAGAGGGAGAGAATGTGTTCAGAGAGAAATGAGGAATGACTGCTGGTAGGTACCAGGGCGATCTCACATGGCAATGAAAATCTCTAAAATTCACAACTCTGATTATATTTAAATATCACTCAGTTTTGTACATTTTAAATGGATAGGGGGCTGGGGATTTAGCTCAGCGGGGGGGGCGGGGCTGGGGATTTAGCTCAGCGGCAAAAGCGCCTGCCTGGCAAGCGCAAGGTCGTGAGTTCGGTTCCCGGTACCGGCGAAAAAAAAAAAAAAAAAAAAAAAAAAAGGATAAACAATACACGAATTGCCATCTCAATAAGGATGCTAAATAAAAAAGAGGCCACATTAAAAGAACCATCCAGTAACACAATTAACATAGGGAGCATATGTTAGTAAGTGGCAAAACATACACGATACTATTTAATATATATTTTTAACTGAAAAACTGTTTCATCAAAATTATTTTCTAAATGAAACCATAGCTATTATGAGGAAAACTTATTTTCAGACTTATAAATCCTATGCCTTGAAGTATAACCTTCCATCAAATCTACACTTCCTTCCACCACAAAAGGAACTGCTGCTCTGAACTATACAGGACAATGCAGGTAACTTAAGAGAAGGGAGCTGAAACAGGGAAGACAGGCCAAGTACACTTACATCAGGTTCCAGGGTCACACAACGCTGAAATGCCTTTGCTGAGCCTGCATAATCTTCCAAGGCCAAATAGGCACAGCCTAGAGAAAACCATACCCCGAGCTGCAAAGAACAGAAATGAAAGTCATTCAAACACACAGACACAAATTTACAGGATACAACCTGAAATTATTTAAGATACTATCAACAAACACACGTTCATAAAGAATTCAGAGCCATACAAAATGAGATCGAAAACTATATCGAATGTTTAAGCTCTAAAAATATTTAGCACAGTGAAAGACACATTGTCGTTAATCCTCCTCAAAATAATACTCCTCACTTCCGACACAATTATCCCACTGTTCTTGCCACTTTCTGAAGCAGCTCTGGAAGCTCTCTTTCAGGAGTGTCTTTGTAAGATGTGATCAAAATATGCTGAATGCTGCTACCGAGTATCATCCAGTGGAAAAGAAGGACTGTACACCACAGTGTGTGCACACTTACCCTATTCAAAGATCAAGCCACGCAACCTCTACATTTTCCCCAAAGTCAAAATGATCATGGAAAGGTAAATGTTTTAAATCAATTCAGGACATCAAGGCAGCCAGGACAGTGCAACTGATCCTCTTGAAAGAGGACTTCCAGACTTGCTTCAGAAAGTGGCAAGAACAACAGGTTAAGTGTGTACAAAAATGAGAGGCAGTATTCTAAGGATGATTAATGCCAATATGTCTTCTACTGCAATAAATATTAAAAATGTAAACACTGTATACTTCAATCACACATCGTATAGTAAATATGTGCCTTATGTTTAAATGTAGGAAAACTAGCAACGAAGATAAATTTCCCACCTAATTTTCAAAGTAACAGAACACTGAAAGCATGTACAATCATTGCTCATTTTTTGTTGAGAAAGACCATACTCTTTGTTTACCAAATTCCTTAAATGCCATGGAAAGTTTTTTATAAGTTGAATCTGGTATTATAAACCTGAGATTAAGTAAACTTTTTTTTACTGATCATCTACTACATAAAAACAGTACACAAAGTATCAGCAGATTCACAACTGATAAATATATCACAAACTTAAAAGGACCAATTTCTGCTTTTATTTCCAATTAGGCCACAAGTAACTTCTGCAGTTTAAGCTTGAATCCACCCTTGTAAAGATCTGCATTGGCTACCCTGAAAACAACTTGGAAAACACAAGCTCAGAATCTGGGTTACCAAATAGTCATGCAAAATGTAAATGTGACTTAATAAAATTCAGAAACACTAACATTCAAATAACAAGTAAAATAGGAAGTAGCTATTCAAATTACAAAAGAATTTTTTACAACACAAGGTTTCCTTAAAATTCAATAGACCCTATCAAAAGGGAGATAAAACTGGAAAAACAATTCAGTGAAACTAGCCAGAAATTCAGATATTACAAGTTGTTTGTTTCAGACATAGACAACACAGACAGCAGTAGATACAGCAGCACATAGAAGTCTACCTTTTCTTTTAAGACGGGGTCTGACAATGTAATATATGGTTCAGGTTGTCCTCAATTCACCATGCAGCCCAGACTGACGGTGAACTCACGGCAATCCTCCTGCCTTAAACTTCCTAAGTCTACCTTCTTAGTGACTCGCTCACTGCCTGAACAAAGGCAGAAACACTTTAGAGGAAAAAAATATGAGGTAGGTATTATGTATCCCCAGCCTTCTTCAGAGGCAAAGAAGGAGCCTGCTTCTACATCGCTCTTCCCTCAACTCTTCCAATATGGCGTGCTGAGGCCTGAAAGTTCCTTGAGCAGATAGATTTTCAGGACAATTAGAGATAAGGCTTAGAAAGCAAACATCCTTGGGCAATTTAACACTTCGCCATGAACTCACAAGCAGCCGTAAATAACCACTATCAAGAGTCTTTATGGAGAACAGATTTGTTTGAGGGGTAGGTAATGCCTGAAAAGACGTGGTGTGCGTCTGGTTTGGGGTTTGCAGAAGGAAGCAGAGGACTAGGCTGAAACTAAAAGTTCACTTGTCTGAATTATGGCACTTTAACTTAAAACCAAGCTCACTGCTCTGCTTTCATCTGGTTATTTATAGAATGAAATGAAAGGGCTTCAATGCACTCAACTGCACTCACTGAACTTGCAGTCAGAAGACTTGAAGGCTGATACTGACTTATAAAATATATAACACAAACCTTCTAACTTCCAACCAAGTTGAAAGTTTCAAACCCTGTGTTATATTTCATCAGTTCTAAGGTACATTATTTTTTCCTCTGTAACATCTGTGAAATAGGTCTTGTCAAGAGTTTCAAGAGCAGCAGTTTTCTACACAGAGTGGTACTTAAAGTAAGGCGCCCCTTAGGATTGATAACACCTTAGATATGATGAATTACGGTACTAATAATACTAGTAGGAACGAGGACTAGCCCATTCAGAGACTGAACTAGGAATAGTGTCCCTTGCTTGCTTTCTAAAATCAGCAAAAAATAAATACTCTTTCTCATGTGTTATAAAATCCAAGATAAAATCAAAATCTAAATAAAGAACTTTATTTTTCAATCTACATAAAAAGATTTACAAAAGTTGCAAAGATTTAAAATTAATAATTACTGGGGCTGGGGATGTAGCTCAGTGGTACAAGCGCCTGCCTGGCAAGAGCAAGGTCCTGAGTTCGATTCCTTGTACCCTCCCTCCGAAAAATTAACAATTACCATACAACTCTGAAAGACCGGAAATGAAATTTATTTATTTTTAAATTTTAAAAATGAGTTAATATTTTGTAACTGTATCGTAAAACCAAAATAAAGTTAATGAAAACCGTACTTAGGATTTATCTAATATAAAGTATTACTATGGTTCCCTTTTCTTTTTACTCTTGGCTATTTTTGCAGTTGCAAGAAAAGCTTATGATCAATTGACTACTATATTTAACCTATTGGTAATGTATACTTATGACAGGAGACAACCCCTCCACACAGTCTGTTCTTTAATGTCATGCAAGGCTCGTTTTCAACACTCTAGCATCTTCTAATTGCTTACAGCTGCCCCATTAAATTATTCATCCCTCTTGTTTGTCAATTGAAGCCCTCAGAATCTGAGGGACTATGGCGAATATTTGGTGCCTCTTTTACTTTTTTTAAGACTATTACTTAAACTATAATTACAAATAATGATTGACATCTTCGTTCAAAAGGTCATAGTCTTAAAATAGGGCATAATTTTAAGAAGAAATTCAAAAAAAGTCTCAAAAAACTCTCACACAGTCCTCAAAATAAAGCTGAGTTAGTTGAGCACCAAGATCTTTAGTACCAAGCAGAGCAAAGACAGAGAAACACAAAGACACTCCTCATTGCACGTTCTGGTGGGTGTATTTTTTAAAAAGTAAAAGGAAATGGATAAAATGTACTTTAATAATATTCACTTTTGCATATTCAAAATGAGATTATTTCAACATGTTATTGATATATGAAATTACCGAAATATTTTATTTTATTTATTTATTTATTTTTTGGTTTTTCTCCGGTACTGGGAACCGAACCGAGATATTTTACATTCATCTTTTTCATACAAAATCCTTGAACTCCGATGTGTATCCAATACTTAACATATTCCCATCAGCTTGAACTATCAGTGGTACATACATGACTGTCCCACCGGGCAGTTTGTATGACCTGATGGGACGGTCCCATGGCTCCTAATGCATGTCATGCATATACCATTACCAGTGCTACAGCTGCCCAGCAGCGACATATAAATTACAGCCCCGTCGTGAAAGGGTTAGAGCAAGTCTCACCTTTGACTGGACAAATCTAGTGGCCAGTGCACTGGGCAGCAGTGTTCAATATTATTACTCTGACATAGGCATGCAAACCCTAGAATACTATGCATCCTTCCCTTCTTTCTCAAGTGAGAGCGCCTCTGGCTGAGACCGTCCCATGAACTCCCAGCTTTCACATACCACAGGCAACCAAAACAGCAACCAAAATAATAACCCTCAGCACCTACACGCGTGCCAAGCGCCGATGCCATGAGTTTTCTATACATTACCGCCTGTGTTCCTCAGGAAAACTCTGCAGGTAGTTAATGTCGCCTTTGATGCCGCCTCTATTAGAAAGATGTCAAAAGGCTACAGGAGAGGTCTGACCCCCTCTGTGTGACTCCAAACATCACCACTTGTTCAAAATGCCACCCACCTCACACAAGCCATGACTTAGGGTAATACTATCCTCCTCACAGATAAAAAGAGACGGGAAAAACAGTGCACATACCATATGTTGGGAACGCTCAAGAGATGGATTTTTTTAAGAACCAGAAGCACACTTCTTTACCCCCACAGGCTCCCTTGATTGGGCTATGCAGGTGGACAAAGAAGCAGCAGCAGAAGGAAGAGAAGAGCTGAAAGGAAAATCTCTTATCAAAGGACTGGGTAAATGGAGCAAGATAATTGTTTGATAGAAAGGCTTTGGCTGAGATTTCTGTAGCACTTATTTCCAGGGCAAACCAGGAAGGCAAGCTCACCACAGGTAGGTGATGACCTTTAAAATCTGGTAGACATCTGGGTGCAGGGGTGCACGCCTGTGATCTCAGCACTCTGGGAGGCTTAGGTAAAAGGACTGTAAATTCAAGGCCAGCATCGACAGCTTAGTGAGACCAAGTATTCAAGAGGTCCTAAGTAACTGTATGACCTTGACCTTGTCACCTAACTTCTGAGTCTCAGTCTCCCAAGTACTGAGCCAGGTGGGCTAGGCTAAAATCCCAAGGTTCTTCTGACTTCCTATATTATGAAAATCCGGAGGTGATATGGTTCAAAGCTACACTAGTGCCATCTAGTGGCAAAGTAGACGCACTGACAATACAAGTAGATTAGTATTGATAATCAGCTGGTTTGAAGAGCTAGAAGGGAATCAATTCAATTAGAGGCCTTAAAAATCAAGAGAAGCCAAGGTAAAAATGAGGCCTACAGAGGAAGTGATTTGCTGAAAACCACACAGTGGTTCCTAGTATGCAGTATATGTCATAAAGAGAGTGACTAAAATATTTATTAAACCTAAGTACTTAAGATAAAAATTAAACAAATTTGGTACTCTGTGGGCTAATAAGCACCAAAAGATAACGGGCATAG